CACCTTACTATAGATGATGAAGATGGCAGGGCTGCTTCTTCCCGGGGTTTCTTCACCGCCACGTGCGTGTATAGACCACCTTAACTATAGATGATGAAGATGGCAGGGCTCTGCTTCCCGGGGTTTCTTCACCGCCACGTGCGGTATAGACCACCTTACTATAGATGATGAAGATGGCAGGGCTCTGCTTCCCGGGGTTTCTTCACCGCCACGTGCGGGTATATAGACCACCTTACTATAGATGATGAAGATGGCAGGGCTCTGCTTTCCCGGGGTTTCTTCACCGCCACATGCAGGACTATAGACCACCTTACTATACTATGATGAAGATGGCAGGGCTCTGCTTCTTCCCGGGGTTTCTTCACCGCCACGTGCGGTGTATAGACCACCTTACTATAGATGATGAAGATGGCAGGGCTCTGCTTCCCGGGGTTTCTTCACCGCCACGTGCGGGTATAGACCACCTTACTATAGATGATGAAGATGGCAGGGCTCTGCTTCCCGGGGTTTCTTCACCGCCACGTGCGGGTATAGACCACCTTAATATAGATGATGAAGATGGCAGGGCTCTGCTTCCCGGGGTTTCTTCACCGCCACGTGCGGGTATAGACCACCTTACTATAGATGATGAAGATGGCAGGGCTCTGCTTCCCGGGGTTTCTTCACCGCCACGTGCGTGTATAGACCACCTTACTATAGATGATGAAGATGGCAGGGCTCTGCTTCCCGGGGTTTCTTCACCGCCACGTGCGGACTATAGACCACCTTACTATAGATGATGAAGATGGCAGGGCTCTGCTTCCCGGGGTTTCTTCACCGCCACACGTGTGGGGACTATAGACCACCTTACTATAGATGATGAAGATGGCAGGGCTCTGCTTCCCGGGGTTTCTTCACCGCCACGTGCGGGACTATAGACCACCTTACTATAGATGATGAAGATGGCAGGGCTCTGCTTCCCGGGGGTTTCTTCACCGCCACGTGCGGTATAGACCACCTTACTATAGATGATGAAGATGGCAGGGCTCTGCTTCCCGGGGTTTCTTCACCGCCACGTGCGGACTATAGACCACCTTACTATAGATGATGAAGATGGCAGGGCTCTGCTTCCCGGGGTTTCTTCACCGCCACGTGTGGGTATAGACCACCTTACTATATAGATGATGAAGATGGCAGGGCTCTGCTTCCCGGGGTTTCTTCACCGCCACGTGCGGACTATAGACCACCTTACTATAGATGATGAAGATGGCAGGGCTCTGCTTCCCGGGGTTTCTTCACCGCCACGTGCGGGTATAGACCACCTTAACTATAGATATGATGAAGATGGCAGGGCTCTGCTTCCCGGGGTTTCTTCACCGCCACGTGCGGGTATAGACCACCTTACTATAGATGATGAAGATGGCAGGGCTCTGCTTCCCGGGGTTTCTTCACCGCCACGTGCGGTATAGACCACCTTACTATAGATGATGAAGATGGCAGGGCTCTGCTTCCCGGGGTTTCTTCACCGCCACGTGCAGACTATAGACCACCTTAATATAGATATGAAGATGGGCAGGGCTCTGCTTCCCGGGGTTTCTTCACCGCCACATGCGGGTATAGACCACCTTACTATAGATGATGAAGATGGCAGGGCTCTGCTTCCCGGGGTTTCTTCACCGCCACGTGCGGGACTATAGACCACCTTACTATAGATGATGAAGATGGCAGGGCTCTGCTTCCCGGGGTTTCTTCACCGCCACATGCGGGTATATAGACCACCTTACTATAGATGATGAAGATGGCAGGGCTCTGCTTCCCGGGTTTCTTCACCGCCACGTGCAGACTATAGACCACCTTACTATAGATGATGAAGATGGCAGGGCTCTGCTTCCCGGGGGTTTCTTCACCGCCACGTGCGGTATAGACCACCTAATATAGATGATGAAGATGGCAGGGCTCTGCTTCCCGGGGTTTCTTCACCGCCACATGCGGACTATAGACCACCTTACTATAGATGATGAAGATGGCAGGGCTCTGCTTCCCGGGGTTTCTTCACCGCCACGTGCGGTATAGACCACCTTACTATAGATGATGAAGATGGCAGGGCTCTGCTTCCCTGGTTTCTTCACCGCCACGTGCGTGTATAGACCACCTTACTATAGATGATGAAGATGGCAGGGCTCTGCTTCCCGGGGTTTCTTCACCGCCACGTGCGGACTATAGACCACCTTACTATAGATGATGAAGATGGCAGGGCTCTGCTTCCCGGGGTTTCTTCACCGCCACGTGCGGGTACTATAGACCACCTTACTATAGATGATGAAGATGGCAGGGCTCTGCTTCCCGGGGTTTCTTCACCGCCACGTGGGGACTATAGACCACCTTACTATAGATGATGAAGATGGCAGGGCTCTCTGCTTCCCGGGGTTTCTTCACCGCCACGTGCAGACTATAGACCACCTTACTATAGATGATGAAGATGGCAGGGCTCTGCTTCCCATTTCCGGGTTTCTTCACCGCCACGTGCGTGTATAGACCACCTTACTATAGATGATGAAGATGGCAGGGCTCTGCTTCCCGGGGTTTCTTCACCGCCACGTGCGGTATAGACCACCTTACTATAGATGATGAAGATGGCAGGGCTCTGCTTCCCGGGGTTTCTTCACCGCCACGTGCGGTATAGACCACCTTAATATAGATGATGAAGATGGCAGGGCTCTGCTTCCCGGGTTTCTTCACCGCCACGTGCGTGTATAGACCACCTTACTATAGATGATGAAGATGGCAGGGCTCTGCTTCCCGGGGTTTCTTCACCGCCACGTGCGGACTATAGACCACCTTACTATAGATGATGAAGATGGCAGGGCTCTGCTTCCCGGGGTTTCTTCACCGCCACGTGCGGTATAGACCACCTTACTATAGATGATGAAGATGGCAGGGCTCTGCTTCCCGGGGTTTCTTCACCGCCACGTGCGGGACTATAGACCACCTTACTATAGATGATGAAGATGGCAGGGCTCTGCTTCCCGGGGTTTCTTCACCGCCACGTGCGGTATAGACCACCTTACTATAGATGATGAAGATGGCAGGGCTCTGCTTCCGGGGTTTCTTCACCGCCACGTGCGGACTATAGACCACCTTACTATAGATGATGAAGATGGCAGGGCTCTGCTTCCCGGGTTTTTCTTCACCGCCACGTGCGGACTATAGACCACCTTACTATAGATGATGAAGATGGCAGGGCTCTGCTTCCCGGGGTTTCTTCACCGCCACGTGCGGGTATAGACCACCTTACTATAGATGATGAAGATGGCAGGGCTCTGCTTCCCGGGGTTTCTTCACCGCCACGTGCGACTATAGACCACCTTACTATAGATGATGAAGATGGCAGGGCTCTGCTTCCCGGGGTTTCTTCACCGCCACGTGCGGGTATAGACCACCTTACTATAGATGATGAAGATGGCAGGGCTCTGCTTCCCGGGTTTCTTCACCGCCACGTGCGGGTATAGACCACCTTACTATAGATGATGAAGATGGCAGGGCTCTGCTTCCCGGGGGTTTCTTCACCGCCACGTGCGGGTATAGACCACCTTACTATAGATGATGAAGATGGCAGGGCTCTGCTTCCCGGGGTTTCTTCACCGCCACGTGCGTGTATAGACCACCTTACTAGATGATGAAGATGGCAGGGCTCTGCTTCCGGTTTCTTCACCGCCACGTGCGGACTATAGACCACCTTACTATAGATGATGAAGATGGCAGGGCTCTGCTTCCCGGGGTTTCTTCACCGCCACGTGCGGACTATAGACCACCTTACTATAGATGATGAAGATGGCAGGGCTCTGCTTCCCGGGGTTTCTTCACCGCCACGTGCGGGTATAGACCACCTTACTATAGATGATGAAGATGGCAGGGCTCTGCTTCCCGGGGTTTTTCTTCACCGCCACGTGCGGGTATAGACCACCTTACTATAGATGATGAAGATGGCAGGGCTCTGCTTCCCGGGGTTTCTTCACCGCCACGTGCGGTGTATAGACCACCTTACTATAGATGATGAAGATGGCAGGGCTCTGCTTCCCGGGGTTTCTTCACCGCCACGTGCGGGTATAGACCACCTTACTATAGATGATGAAGATGGCAGGGCTCTGCTTCCCGGGGTTTCTTCACCCCACACGTGCGGGTATAGACCACCTTACTATAGATGATGAAGATGGCAGGGCTCTGCTTCCCGGGGTTTCTTCACCGCCACGTGCGGTATAGACCACCTTACTATAGATGATGAAGATGGCAGGGCTCTGCTCCCGGGGTTTCTTCACCGCCACGTGCGGTATAGACCACCTTACTATAGATGATGAAGATGGCAGGGCTCTGCTTCCCGGGGTTTCTTCACCGCCACGTGCGTGTATAGACCACCTTACTATAGATGATGAAGATGGCAGGGCTCTGCTTCCCGGGGTTTCTTCACCGCCACGTGCGTGTATAGACCACCTTACTATAGATGATGAAGATGGCAGGGCTCTGCTTCCCGGGGTTTCTTCACCGCCACGTGCGTGTATAGACCACCTTACTATAGATGATGAAGATGGCAGGGCTCTGCTTCCCGGGGTTTCTTCACCGCCACGTGCGTGTATAGACCACCTTACTATAGATGATGAAGATGGCAGGGCTCTGCTTCCCGGGGTTTCTTCACCGCCACGTGCGTGTATAGACCACCTTACTATAGATGATGAAGATGGCAGGGCTCTGCTTCCCGGGGTTTCTTCACCGCCACGTGTGGACTATAGACCACCTTAATATAGATGATAGGATGGCAGGGCTCTGGGTCCTCCATCTCCTGTGATGGTGGTTTGCACCCGCCACAGTGATCCACATACTATAGCAATGAATTGATGACAAATGGCCAATCAATGTGTCTGCTGATGTACAGAGTGGCGAGTAAACGCCTCGTCCGTCTATCTGTGTGACAGTTCTCTCACCACCCGAGCCATAGGTGATACTTTCTGGAAGTTTCCTCCATCTGGATCAGGGGTGGACTGACCATTTGGAAACTCGGGCACTGTCCGAGGGCCTGGGGTCAGTAGGGGGCCCCATGAGATGCCCCTGGTACCTTTTTCATAGGCTTTTTTGAGTTTGGACAAGAACACAGGGGCCCCATGATCCCCTATTGCCCGGGGGCCCCATGAGTTGTCAGTCCGCCCCTGGTCTGGGTTACCAGGCATGGTCCCGGGGACAGCTGCCACCATCGGGACACTACTGTGACTGGCGGGCTCCGTTCTCCCCTCGGTGCAGCTTTGCTCAGCTCGTGGCCCACAAATATGGCGGATTCCCTGCTGGTCAGCGTGTGGCGCCAATGCGTGTGACCGGAAGTGACGTATCTGACGTATGACGTCAACGCGTTTCGCCGATGGGCGTATCTCACTCGGCTTCGTCAGGACCAATGAGACGTCTGCCTTTCACCTTCCTATTTATACTGGGCTCAGTACCGCCCCTTTATGTAAATCAGTTGCTGGAAATCCTTCTCAATGGGAAAGGAGCGAATTACTAAGCAGGACGGCTGGTCATATGACTCAATTAACAGAGCAGACACCTGGACACGCCCAGAGGGAGGAGACATCTCCTAGGCGGGATCAAGTGTCTGCCACCAAACCTCCCACAAGGTGGCGCTGACAGTGTATAATTCTACACAATGAGCTGCTTTTCCAGGAATACTTGGAGATCTCCCTCATAACCTTTTGGGGAATAAAGTTCATAAATTGGGGAATAAAGTTCATAAATCCAATATTTCTCCATGAAAGTCTCCTCCTCTGAGGGCAGCTCAGTGCAGATACCTTTCACCTCCGTGCCTCCATGGCATATGTATGCTGAGCTGCATTGCTTCCGGGGTCATTGGACCCGATACCCCCGAAATGTTCACCTATTCCTACCCCCAGCTGCCTATTAGTCTCAGCAATATACCCCTTATATATTCCCTGAGGGCCCCTTATATATCCCCTGAGGTCTCTGAGGGCCCTTTATATATATCCCCAGAGGTCTCTGAGGGCCCCTTATATATATCATGATGCCTCTGGGGGGCCCTTATATATACCCTGAGGTCTCTGAGGGCTATTTAGATATCCCCTGAGGTCTCTGAGGGCCCTTTATATATCCCCAGAGGTCTCTGAGGGCCCCTTATATATATCATGATACCTCTGGGGGCCCTTATATATACCCTGAGGTCTCTGAGGGCCCTTTATATATCCCCTGAGGTCTCTGAGGGCCCTTTATATATCCCTTGAAGTCTGAGGGCCATTTATATATCCACTGAGGTCTCTGAGGGCCCCTTATATATCCCCTGAGGTCTCTGAGGGCCCTTTATATATTCCCTGAGGTCTCTAAGGGCCCTTTATACATCCCGAGGTCTCTGAGGGCCATTTATATATTCCCTGAGGTCTCTGAGGGCCATTTATATATCCACTGAGGTTTCTGAGGGCCCATTATGTATCCCGTGAGGTCTCTGAGGGCGCCTTATATATCCCCTGAGGTCTCTGAGGGCCCATTATGTATCCCGTGAGGTCTCTGAGGGCCCCGTATATATCCCCTGAGGTCTCTGAGGGCCCTTTATATATCCTCTGAGGTCTCTGAGGGAAATTTATACATCCCGAGGTCTCTGAGGGCCATTAATATATCCCCTGAGGTCTCTGAGGGCCTTTTATATATCCCTTGAGGTCTCTGAGGGCCCCTTATATATCCCCTGAGGTCTCTGAGGGCCCTTTATATATCCCCAGAGATCTCTGAGGGCCCTTTATATATCCCCTGAAGTCTCTAGGGGCCCCTTATCTTTACACAGTTACATAGGTGTCCTTTTATGAAACAGAGATCAGCGGATCATGGGGCCCCTGTGTCCTTGCCCAAACTCAAAAAAGCGTATGAAAAAAGTACCAGGGGCATCTCAAGGGGTCCCCTACTGACCCCGGGCCCTCAGGCAGTGCCCAAGTTTCCAAATGGTCAGTCCAACCCAGGGGCGGACTGACAACTCATGGGGCCCCTGGGCAATAGGGGATCATGGGGCCCTTGTGTCCTTGCCCAAACTCAAAAAAGTCTATGAAAAAAGTACCAGGGGCATCTCATGGGGCCCCCTAATAACCCCGGGCCCTCGGGCAGTCCGCCCCTGCTCACAGCTCTCACTGATACTGATATACTGATTTGGATGTCCCCTGGAAATGCTGCCTTTTTCTGACATTGGATTTACACGGTACCGCCATTTGGCTGTATTCTTACCCTCCAATGGGGCTTGGTAAAAGTCTAAGCAGAATAGTTTGATGAATTTTCGGTTTGGAGCCGAGCCTGTGCTGCTGCCTGTGTATGAGGGTTGGATTTGTGTCACCGTGATCTATTCCTCCAGACCTGACACACCAGCTGTGACTGTTATGGCACCACCCTAAATATATGATGGATTCCGCCAAAAGGTACTACAAGAGCCTGTGTGGCATAAACTCGTTCATCCCAACTGAACGTATAAATATTCGACAGACTGAACAATAACTGGACTATAATTCACGTTTATGACGGATGTTTTACCCATCATGACAACTTCAAGAGTTTTATCTATTCTGACACGTGTGTTGTCTACACATTCATGTATGCTCCATATCAGGGACTGCCCAAGGGCCCGGGGTCAGTAGGGGGCCCCATGAGATGTCAGTCCGCCCCTGCTCCATATCAGGGACTGCCCAAGGGCCCGGGGTCAGTAGGGGGCCCCATGAGATGTCAGTCCGCCCCTGCCCATATCAGGGACTGCCCAAGGGCCCGGAGTAGGGGGCCCCATGAGATGTCAGTCCGCCCCTGCTCCATATCAGGGGCGGACACTGCCCAAGGGCTCGAGGTCAGTAGGGGGCCCCATGAGATGTCAGTCCGCCCCTGCTCCATATCAGGGGCGGGCACTGCCCGAGGGCCCGGGGTCAGTAGGGGGCCCCATGAGATGTCAGTCCGCCCCTGCTCCATGTCAGGGGTGGGCACTGCCCAAGGGCCCGGGGTCAGTAGGGGGGCCCCATGAGATGTCAGTCCGCCCCTGCTCCATATCAGGGGCGGACACTGCCCAAGGGCTCGAGGTCAGTAGGGGGCCCCATGAGATGTCAGTCCGCCCCTGCTCCATATCAGGGGCGGGCACTGCCCAAGGGCTCGAGGTCAGTAGGGGGCCCCATGAGATGTCAGTCCGCCCCTGCTCCATATCAGGGGCGGGCACTGCCCAAGGGCCTCGGGTCAGTAGGGGGCCCCATGAGATGTCAGTCCTGCCCCTGCTCCATATCAGGGGCGGACACTGCCCAAGGGCTCGAGGTCAGTAGGGGGCCCCATGAGATGTCAGTCGCCCCTGCTCCATATCAGGGGCGGGCACTGCCCAAGGGCTCGAGGTCAGTAGGGGGCCCCATGAGATGTCAGTCCGCCCCTGCTCCATATCAGGGGCGGGCACTGCCCAAGGGCCTGGGGTCAGTAGGGGGCCCCATGAGATGTCAGTCCGCCCCTGCTCCATATCAGGGGCGGGCACTGCCCAAGGGGCCCGGGGCAGTAGGGGGCCCCAGTCCGCCCCTGCTCCATATCAGGGGCCCTGCCCAAGGGCCCGGGGTCAGTAGGGGGCCCCATGAGATGTCAGTCTGCCCCTGCTCCATATCAGGGGCGGGCACTGCCCAAGGGCCCGGGGTCAGTAGGGGGCCCCATGAGATGTCAGTCCGCCCCTGCTCCATATCAGGGGCGGGCACTGCCCAAGGGCCCGGGGTCAGTAAGGGGGCCCCATGAGATGTCAGTCCGCCCGTACTCCATATCAGGGGCGGGCACTGCCCAAGGGCCCGGGGGGGGTCAGTAGGGGGCCCCATGAGATGTCAGTCCGCCCCTGCTCCATATCAGGGGCGGACACTGCCCAAGGGCCCGGAGGTCAGTAGGGGGCCCCATGAGATGTCAGTCCGCCCCTACTCCATATCAGGGGCGGGCACTGCCCAAGGGCCCGGGGTCAGTAGGGGGCCCCATGAGATGTCAGTCCGCCCCTGCTCCATATCAGGGGCGGACACTGCCCAAGGGCCCGAGGTCAGTAGGGGGCCCCATGAGATGTCAGTCGCCCCTGCTCCATATCAGGGGCGGGCACAGGGCCCGGGTCTGCCCCATGAAGGGCTCCTCGAGGGCCCGGGGTCAGTAGGGGGCCCCATGAGATGTCAGTCCGCCCCTGCTCCATATCAGCTTCACTTCTAGTGTACGGACTTTGTTGTATTCTTTCCACATACAGTTGTGTTCACAATAATATCCGTGTGATGATAAAAGTGACTGAAGCTGCAAATCCTTCTAATCCTTTTCTTTCCATCCACACAAATGCATTGGGAACACGACATTCTATTCCAAATCACAACATGAAGAAAAATACATCAAATTTGTGTTGTTCCTCTAAAAAAATGGAAGAAAAGTGAATATTAGACGGTTCAAAAAAATGGCCGTGTTTGTATTCTTCTTTACAAACTCCAACATTCACTATATAAACTGAGAAATGTTTGAAGATTTTGCTTTCCTTTGAATGACTTCATGAATATTTGGTTGTAGTCGCACTGTTTCTGAGAACTGCTGTACATCTGTGTTGCATGGAGTCCCCCAACTTCTGGCCCCTGTGATCAGGTATTCCAGCCCAGGATGATTGGACCACATTCCACAGTTCTTCTCTATTTCTTGTTTTTGCCTCAGAAACGGCATTTTTGATGTCGCCCCACAAGTTTTCTATTGGATGAAGATCCGGGGATTGGGCTGGCCACTCCATAACGTCCATCTTGTTGGTCTGGAACCAAGATGTTGTACGTTTACTGGTGTGTTTGGGGTGGTTGTCTTGTTGGAACCCCCATTTCAAGGGCATTTCCTCTTCAGCATAAGGCAGCATGACCTCTTCAAGTATTCTGATGGATTCAGACTGATCCATGATCCCTGGTATGCGATAAATAGGCCCAACACCGTAGTATGAGAAACATCCCCATATCATGATGCTTGCACCACCATGCTTCACGGTCTTCACAGTGTACTGTGGCTTGAATTCAGTGTTTGGGGGTCGTCTGACAAACTGTCTCCGCCCACTAGACCCGAAAAAGAACAATCTTACTTCCATCAGTCCACAAAATGTTGCCCATTTCTCTTTAGGCCGGTCAATGTGCTCTTTGGCAGATTGTAACCTCTTCAGCACACGTCTTTTCTCCAACAGTGGGACTTTGCGGGGACTTCTTGCAGATAGCTTGGCTTCACATAGGCGTCTTCTAATTGTAACAGTCCTCACAGGGAACGTCACACCTTCTTTCATCTTCCTGGAGCTGATTGTTGGCTGAGTCCTCACAGGAACGTCACACCTTCTTTCATCTTCCTGGAGCTGATTGTTGGCTGAGTCCTCACAGGGAACGTCACACCTTCTTTCATCTTCCTGGAGCTGATTGTTGGCTGAGTCCGCGCCATTTTGGCTATTCTTCTATCCATTCCAATGGTAGTTTTTTGCTTTCTTCCACGTCTTTCAGGTTTTGGTTGCCATTTTAAAGCATTTGCCATCATTTTAGCTGAGCAGCCGATCATTTTCTGCACTTCTTTATATGTTTTCCCCTCCAATCAACTTTTTAATCAAGAACGCTGTTCTTCTGAACAATGTCTGGAACCACCCATTTTCCTCAGAATTTCAGAGAGAAATGCACTGTAACCAGCATGTCCAACATTTGCTGCCTTCCTTCCTTAAATAAGGGCAATAATTGCCACCTGTTTATCAAAGAATGAATGACGTCACTAATAGAACTCCACACGGCTATTATTGTGAACACGCCCCTTTCAATGAGTGATTCAATGACACAGAATCAGCAGCATGCATGTCATGACTGTTGGGTCTGTTGGATTTCTATGACTCTACTACACCTGCTAGGAAATTATCTGCCATGTAGAAATATCATTTCCACCAAAAACAGCGATTGATCCGGTTAGTGATGTCTGACGGCTAGTATTCTCAACACAACTGTATGTGTAGTAGGGATTTTGCATTCCTTTTATAATATAAACAGCCAGATGCCAAGAAATAGAGCACTTGAATGCCTGTCAAACACGACCAATGCACATCTTACCCAGAAATGATCCTAAAGCCAGTACAAGTGCTGCCGTGTCATTTACTATCCATGATAACCCGCCAATCGGTTCGCTGCGTGACAATATAGGGAGGTAAAAGCAGGCTTCTACATTGGGCAACAGAGCCATCTCATGGCAAAGCGATGTGTGTCACTTGTGGAGGAAACAAAGATGAAGTTAAAGAAAGTCAGAAGATACAAATCCTGCTCTGCTCATATATGTATCCCCCTCTGAGGGCCATTATATATCCCCTGAGGTCTCTGAGGGCCACTTATATATCCCCTGAGGTCTCTGAGGGCCACTTATATATACCCTGAGGTCTCTGGGGCCCCTTATATATCCCCTGAAGTCTCTGAGGGCCACTTATAAATCCCCTGAAGTCTCTAAGAGGCCACTTATATATCCCCTGAGGTCTCTGAGGGCCCTTTATATATCCACTGAGGTCTATGGGGACCCCTTAATATACCCTGAGGTCTCTGGGGGCCCCTTATATATCCCCTGAAGTCTCTGAGGGCCACTTATATATCCCCTGATGTCTCTGAGGGCCACTTATATATCCCCTGAAGTCTCTGAGGGCCACTTATATATCCCCTGAGGTCTCTGAGGGCCACTATATAAATATACCCTGAGGTCTCTGGGGGCCCCTTATATATCCCCTGAAGTCTCTGAGGGCCACTTATAAATCCCCTGAAGTCTCTAAGGGCCACTTATATATCCCCTGAGGTCTCTGAGGGCCCTTTATATATCCACTGAGGTCTATGGGGACCCCTTAACTATACCCTGAGGTCTCTGGGGGCCCCTTATATATCCCCTGAAGTCTCTGAGGGCCACTTATAAATCCCCTGAAGTCTCTGAGGGCCACTTATATATCCCCCGAGGTCTCTGAGGGCCACTTATATATCCCCTGAAGTCTCTGAGGGCCACTTATATATCCCCTGAGGTCTCTGAGTGCCCTTTATATATCCACTGAGGTCTATGGGGACCCCTTAAATATACCCTGAGGTCTCTGGGGGCCCCTTATATATCCCCTGAAGTCTCTGAGGGCCACTTATAAATCCCCTGAAGTCTCTAAGGGCCACTTATATATCCCCTGAGGTCACTGGGGGCCCTTTATATATCACCTGAGGTCTCTGGGGGGCGCTTTATATATCACCTGAGGTCTCTGGGGGCCCATTATATATCCTCTGAGCTCTCTGAGGGCCCTTTATATATCCCCTGCGGTCTCTGGGGAACCCTTATATACCCTGAGATCTCTGAGGGCCACTAATATATCCCCTGACGTCTCTAAGGGCCCTTAATATATCACCTGAGGTCTCTGGGGGCCCATTATATATCCTCTTAGCTCTCTGAGGTCCCTTTATATATCCCCTGATGTTCTTGGCCCTCGACCACAACCCTCCAGGGATCCTATGCTCTGCCCCCTTAAGCATAACTGACCATAATCTAGCATATTATCCTGTACTGGGCCCTCCACTATACCCTCCAAAGGACCCTGCGTTGGCCCCTAAATGCAACTGCTCATAACCCTCCAGCAGATCCTGAGCTAGGCCTCTGGAGAGAACAGTCCATAACCCTCCAGAAGATCTTTTACTAAGCTCATCAAGATAACAGACCATAACTGTCCTAGGGGGTGCTGAACATAATCCTTCCAAAAGATCCTGTGCTGGGCCCTTGACCAAAACCCTCCAGAAGATCCTGTACTGGGCCCATCCAGATAAGAAATCATAACCATCCAGGGAATTCTGATAATAGCCCTTCCAAAAGATCCTGTGAGGGGCCCTTGACCAAAACCCTCCAGAAGATCCTGTACTGGGCCCATCCAGATAAGAAATCATAACCATCCAGGGGATTCTGATAATAGCCCTTCCAAAAGATCCTGTGAGGGGCCCTTGACCATAATCCTCCAGAGTATCCTGTGCTAGGCCCTTGACCATATCCCTGAATCAGGATCCTGTTCAAGGCACCAGAATTCTGTGTTCATAACCCTGCAGGGGATCCTGTGCTAGGCCCTTGACCATAACCCTCCAAGAGACCTTGTACTAGGCCCACCAAGATAACAGACCATGACCCTCCAGGAGATTCTGATCATAACCCTCCAAAAGAGCCTGCGCTGGGCTCTTGGCAATAATCCCTCAGAGCATCCTGTTCTAGGTCCTTGACCATAACCCTCCAGAGGATTCTGTTCAAGGCTCGGAATTCTGTGTTCATAACTCTGCAGGGGATCCTGTGCTGGCCCTTTACCAAAACCCTCCAAGAGATCTTGTACTAGGCCCACCAAGATAACAGACCATAACCCTCCAGGAGATTCTGATCATAACCCCTCCAGAAGATCATTTGCTGGGCTCACCAAGATAAACATCCATAACCTTTCAGGGGGTTCTGAACAATCCTTCTAGAATATTCTGTGCTAGGCCCTTGACCATAAACTTCCAGAGGATCCTATGCTAGGCCCATCAAGATGACAGACCATAACTCTCCAGAAGATTCTGTGCTGGATCCTTGACCATAACCCCAGTGGTGTATTTAAGTTTCATGCTGCCCTAGGCAACACAAAGATCATCTGCCCCCCCACGGACACGAACCAAACAACCCCCCCTTGCCCCTCCTGAAGAGAGAGCCTGACATTGACCAACAACACCCCTGCCCCCCACCTGGAAGAGCCTTCCACTAACCCCCCCGGCACTAGAAAGAAAGACACTCATCTTCACTGGGCTCTGGACATCCCCGGGAACGAGAGTCGGGCTCTACATACACCATCAAGCAGCCTGCAGCCTCTCTCAGATCCCACCTGGTTCCCATGGCATGCGTGTCCCTCCTTCCATCCATTCTTCTGGGGGGAAGTGCTGCCCCCCTGAAAAATGCCGCCCTAGGCAAGTGCCTTGTTTGCCTTGTGGTAAATACACCCCTGCATAACTCTTCAGAAAATCCTGTGTTAGCCCCTTTACCATGAGCGTCCAGATGATCCTATACTGGGCAGTTGGTCATGACCTTCTAGATGATCCTTTGCTGGGCCCTTGACCATAACCCCGCAGAACATCTTGTACTAGGCTCATCAAGATAACAGACCATAAGTCTTCAGAGGATCCTGTGTTAGCCCCTTCACCATGAGCGTCCAGATGATCCTATGCTGGGCAGATGGTCATGATCTTCTAGATGATCCTTTGCTGGGCCCTTAACCAAAACCTTCCAGAACATCTTGTACTAG